TCATAAAGGAAGTTCACACAGACCTTCCCCAGCAGCCTGGTGTCCTTTCCAGACCAGCATCTATTCCTTGGGTCAAGATGCTGCCCTTGCTGATACAACTTGAGGAGGGATTCTTCTCTTTGTAACACACACTGGGAAGAACTCCAGAGGCCTTTGGGAAGCAGAGTTACTGGTAGGAGGGGTGGGCACCTTCATTAGCCCTAGAGAGAAGGAGGGTTGGGAGGTGTGCCCTGCCCCACCCTCTCAGTACCCTGCACCCAGCAAACTGGGAGGGAATGCCAAGGGAACATGTCCCTTCTTGCCTCTCCTTTTCCAGGAGGGCTTCATCCACAAAGGGCTTCGCTCAGAAGGCGAGGCTTGGTGTTTTCTGACTTAGCGACAGAAAATACCCAATGCCCCTAAATTAGGGTGAGTGGCACTTGGACCAGTGCCCAAGTCCCGGAGAATCAGGCTGTCATGCAGAGCTGTTGGGGGTGTTGCCTGCCTGTCCCTCATAGGAGGGAGGGCTGTGGACGTCTGCAGCCCTGCCTGTGGGGTCCAGGGGTGCACTCTGCAAACGGTGAGCCGCTCCTGCTCTGAAACTGGCCCTGAGTCCTCCTGGTCCTTCTACCAGGAGAGGAAGTGCTTGTTGACAAAACAGTCATGACTGCCACCTCAGCTTTGTGCTCAGGACACTAAACATAAATTTGCCAGTGGTCACAGGGGGACTGAGCAAGGGGTGGTCAGCACAAACTCCTCAAAACTTCTGAAAGCAGTTTGATGAATGGTCAACTTGCGTTCATTTAAAGACTTTTTTTAAGGTAACAGCAGTAGACAAAAGTGTATGCCTGAAAGTGAACCACAGTACTATTTAGAGTAACAAGAGTCTAAAACAACCTAAATAAGGAATTGGTTAGCCCTTTTGTGACCTGTGGGACATAAATCACCCACCAATATTTTCAGCCTTTGGGAAGTAGACAGCCCAGTTGAGGGTGCTGCCACCTGGTGGGGATCGGTGTCACTGCGTGTATCCCACCTTGGTGTGGTGTGTGTACCATGGAGTTGGACCAACCACAGTTGAGCCTCTAGTGGGTTTTCAACGGCAGTTAACCGCATGGGAGGCGACTGCCCATCCCTCATTGTATCAAAATCCCTATTATCTCAAGAAAAATGACATTTCCTTGCTTTTAGCCTGCGTTTCCCTAGTGAACACACAAAACGTCAACCAAAAATTCAAAGGAGAAAATATTTTGGTCTTGAAAGGATTGTTGTGTTGTTGATTGCTGTCCAGTTGAGCATGACTCATAGCAACCCTATGAACAAAAGGCCTGAAGCTTTTCTGTAACTATCGTCATTTATCCAAGTTCATAGAGTTTCTAGAGGCATGTGGTTTAGGTAGTGGACGCGAGGGGATTAATTCTTTCTCTCCATTCAGTGGAATACTATGCAGCCATGACAAATAACTGCATACATCTATATTTTTTGTTGTTAACATACCATCAGGTACAATCTGTAATGACTCTTATGAACGATTCTGTGCATCTAAACTTTGTCCTGTCTTGTGCCATCCACTCTTGAGCCCAGTGTTGCAGTCACTGTGTCAATCCTTCTGCTTGAGGGTCTTCTCTCTCTCACTGACTTCCACATTTCCTAGCATGATGTCCTTTTCCAAGGATCGCCTCGCCTCACAGCATGCTCAAAGTGAGATGAAGCTTTGTCATCCTTGCCTCCAAGGAGCACTCTGGCTGCACCTTCTCCGGACATACCTCTGTGTGCTCTGGGCAGCCTGTGGGATGTTCAGTAGTTATCAGGCAAACTGTCAGGAGGGGCCAGTCCTTGGAAAAGGACACCATGCTGAGAAAAGTGGAGGTCAGAGAAAGAGAAGACGCCGAAACAGAACGGGCTGCTGCAGCAGCAGATGTAAAAATGAGCTCCAGCGTATCAGAGATGGTGAGGATGGCACCGGACAGGGCAAGGTTCAGATACACTGGTCACGAAGTGTCCGAGTCACGGTTGACTTGATGGCACCTCACAACAATGTACTTAGTGGCAAGAGAAGCTGCCCTAGCAGTGCCTGAAAAGGTTATGTCCATGATCATCACTCCAGCATTCCTAGAAGGCTGTTACATAAAGGAGAAATAGCTTCAAACAGGTAGATTAAAGCATCGAGGTGAAGCTTTAGAACCAAGGCAGAGTTCAAATTTATGCTAGATCTCAGAAAACTTTAATAAACAAGTATTACACCCCTATAATATACTGGGAGTGCTGGTGGTCTGGAGGGTAAAGAGTTGTGCTGCCAGCCCAAAGGCAGGCAGTTGGAATCCACCAGCTGCTTTGTAGGCAAGACTGACAGTCTCCTCTGGTGTGACTTCCAGCCTCTGAACACCACTGGGAGGCCAGCTAGAGGCCAGAGTTGGTTCCAACAGGACAGCAGTGACTTCTGACAGTGTACCGAGTGCTATGCACAGCTCTGGGAAGACTTAAGATGAATTCCGGTCCCTCTGCTGATCCAAAACCCAAACCTACTGCCACTGTTAGAACCTCCTCCTGTAGCTGTGCCAGAAAGCATGGACGTTCACGTCTCCTGTGATACAATCATGGGCTTCGGTTCAAGGCCGCTGGGAGGAATGTGGAACTCCATCCTGTTTTCCTTGCTTAAATAAACCACACCAGGTGAGAAGGAATTTCATGGAGTTATTCCTGCATTTCCAAGTGCAGTCAAGAAGCTCCTTAGGCGTGAGACTCAAGACACTTTGCCTCACATGCTTTGGGTGTGTTAACAGGAGAGGAAGCCCTTCCATAGATGGACGGAGAGACGGTAACAGTGGGCTCCAGCACAGCCGTGAGGGCAGGCATGGTGTGGGGCTGGGCGGAGCTCCGTTTGATAGGGACACTATCGTGAGTCAGAGCTAACTCAGAAGCACCGAACTTACTAAACCAGTTAGACATTCATTCAGGGAACTGTCCAGATGTGATTTCTAAAGCCCCTCCCAAGAATCCAGGGAATGGCATTCAGTAACTGCTTCAATCTGAGACCCCTCGTGGGGATATCGCTCCAGCCACTGCAGATCGGCCTCGATGCTGGGCAGGCCTGAGAGACATCCCTCCCCGCCCACACGGGTCTTCACCTCTGGGGGAAGCACGGGTTGCATGAAGTTCATAACCTGAGTGCAGCATTGCGGGCATCCAGTTGAGCTACTTCTGAGAATCCATGGTCCTTGGCAGCCTCTTTCCCAGCATACACCTCGATCTTGACCACAGAGGCTAAGCATCCTTTGCATTAGGGCACACTCCTTTGTCCATGGTGCCAGCAGCCTGGGCATCGTGGCAAGCCCAGTACACCTGGCAGTCACTGGCAATGTGAGGGTGTCGGCAGCACTCAGCAGACATGGAGTGGGCCTGGGCTCAAGTCCTGGCTTTCACACTTCCTAGACGACTCTTACACCCTCCAGGAGTCTCTGGGCTTTTCCATCTGAGAAGTAAAACTCACTGCCATAGTGATCAGAAAGGACATAGTAGGCTGGCCCCATAGGGTTACTAAGATTGTAAACATTCTCCCATGTAGCTGATGGGTCCACACTGTTGACTATTTGGTTAGGAGTGAAAATACTTCAACCGCTTCACCACCAAGGGAGCAAAGTAAAAGCCCTCATGAGATTTTGGTATGAAGAATAAATAAAGGTAGGCCTTCAATGCAGTCATGACTGGATCGTTAACTGCTTAACCAGAGGCCAGCGACTGAAGCCAATCAGAAGCTCCACAGGAGAAAACCTGATGATGTGATCCAGTAAAGACACAAAATAAGACAACGTCACTGCCATCGTATCCATTCCAACTCACAGGGACACTCTCTCAGGCTCCCAAAGCCGTGAACACGAGGAGGAGGAAACTGCTCGTTTGATTTCACACAGCAGCTGGTAGAGGCCTTTGTGTTAGCAGCACAGCTCACTGTAGATTGAGGCGCCCTGAAGGCACTTCTTCTCTGCCACATGGGATATTTCTAAGCGGGCATCAACTTGATGGCACACAACAGGAAACTGATACGGCGCCTGACCTAAGGTGGGGATGGTGGTGGTTAGGTGCCATCGAGTATGACTCAGAGCTACCCCAGGATGAGGCAGCCTGCAGCCGGCCCTGTCCTATGAACCCTGCCCTGTCCTGTGCCATCCCCACCCCTCATCTCCGACATATGAGAGCCCATTGCTGAAGTCACAGTGTCAGCCCATCTCTCTGGGGGTCTTCCTCCCCTTCACTTAGCCTCCATCTTATCAAACATCATCTCACTTTCCAGGCAATATCCTCGCCTAGCGACATGCCAGGAAAGGAGAACAGCTAGCAGTTGTTCTTTTGATTTAAATTCGTTCTACCTAAAATTGCCATCAGTACTTCCTGAGTAGCTTTGCTTTTACATTTTCTTCTTAGTTTACTAACCAGTCACACCGCGGTGACTCCAGGTGTGGAAGGGAAGGACTGTGCTCTGAGCATTTCTCACGGGAGTTTCTGCACCAGACGGCCAGGCTTCTTTCCTGAGGATGGATGCGAACCTTCGTCCTGTTGGTTAGTTAGCAGTTGGGCATGTCCGACATTGGCTTCAGGAAGAGACTCCCTTTAGCGCCTACCCTTCTAATGCACACTCTGCCCTGCTGATTTTATCATCTCTCCTGCCGCACTAGAGTAAGAACTCCTTGAAGTGGGAATCTTCAATCTCATATTTACTGCCCGGCACATAAACAGGCTCTCAATAAATTGGTGGTAAGACAGACAGATGGAGCATACAATTTGCCATTTTAACCAGACAATTCATTGGCAATTTTTACTGTCATGGTGTAACCAGTATCTACTTTCAAACCATCCAGATCCTAAAGAGAAGTTTTATAACCACTGAGTGTTGACTTGCTCAGTAAATCTTTTTGTAAAGGCTGACAACAGGTACCCTTCTCACCCTCTGCCCAGGTGTGGTGGCCCCATATCACAGGATGATATTCTGTGTTCTAACACCATCTTCTCTCTTCTGCCCTCAGGACGCCTTTGTGGAGCTCTACGGCCCCAGCATGCGGCCTCTCTTTGACTTCTCCTGGCTGTCTCTGAAGACGCTGCTTAGTCTGGCCCTGTTGGGAGCTTGCATCACCCTGGGTGCCTACCTGGGGCACAAGTGAAGTCACCCAGCCTGTGGCTAAACAGTTATGCAAAAGTTTCACGGGGCCAGTAGGAACAGAACACATCGGCCAGGAGGTACCAGGAAGCAAAGCAATGGTCTCTTAAAATGAAAAAAAGAAAAAATAACATGCAAAGTCGAATCAGCTATTTACTGCCAAAGGGAAATACCGTTTATTTTTTACATTCTTAGCAAAAAGATTTATTTATTTAAAAACAGTCCCCCCGAACCTCCAGTTTTGGACACCTAGCAGGCATTGTCTGGGTCCACTTCCGTCTGGCTGGACCACTTCCGGCGGGCCCACCTGCATCTCCTGTGCCTAGAAACACTCTCTCCACGCCGACTGCGAGAACTCTCCATTTGAAGAGCAGACAAGCCGGTCCACAGGGCCAGAGTCAGGCTGCGCCAGGCCCGAGGTGGGTGTTGTCCTCATGAAATGGGTCCCCCCGCGGCGGGCCGTGACTATGACGGGGCTGGACAGCCCTCTCTTGGGGGACTGTACCCACTGGCCTTTCTGGTCCACATGGTACAAACCTGGTTAGAAGAAATCTGGGGACTCTGGATGGACGTGATGTCCATGGGGCCTCCCACACCCAACGTCAACACTGGGGAAAACAAAACTGCCCTTAACCGTGACAAAAAGTATTTTTTTAAGCTACCAATTGTGCCGAGAAGCATTTTAACAATTTCTACAATATCATCCAGTACCTTAAGCCCTTGGTATGTATACTCCTCTATCTTGGATCTGCTCCTCCGTAGACTGGCTCTGTCCGACCAGGAAACGACCTCCTCGGCTGGGGAGGCACGTTTCCAGAAGCATCTGGCCGCCTTAAGTGCCTGCTGTTCCCGGGAGAGGCCGCAGCCTGCAGTCCCTTGGCGTGGCCCGAGGGCCTTGTCCCAGATCGGAGCCTGGACACAGGCCAGCCTGGCCTCAGAAGGGGCTTTGAAGCCTGGCAGGGCGGCCGCCAAGGGTTGCCCCCCCAGGGGGCTCGCAACGCCCCCGTCAAGAAATAGCAATAGGGGGGACTCCACTTGGGCCGCCTGCAGGGCCGGCGCTCGGGTGGGCCCATTCCCCCCACCCCCACCCCCCAGAGCACTAGAAGTGGGCGCCGCCAGCTCTGGGTGGGCACCACTTCTGAGGACTGACTCTGAAGGAGTAACCCGTGAAGGTGCCTGGGAGAAAGGGAGCACCGTGGAGGGAGACCAAGGGGTAGTGAGTCTCCCGGAAATGGCCTGCAGAGTGCGGTGCATGCTGGGAAGGCCGCCACCGGAACTAGTGGGAAGGGGATGGCGCGGTGCACGCTGGGAACACACCCTGGTCTCCCTACCTGGGGCTGCTGTGTTCTGAAAGGCCTACAGTGACCTTGGGGCAGGCCATAAATGCTAAAAGAAGAATAGAAATGAAATGTCAAGGTTTCATTGACTTATATCTATGGAGTTACGGTGTAAAACATCTTGTCTTTTAAGGGTTTTTATGTTTGTTTTTTTGGGGTGTGTTTTTTGAGAGGGTGACAGAAGAAAAAAACGTCTCCAGGTGTGGAATTTAGAGACTATCTGTAATTCCTAGGGCACCTAAAAAAAATAATAAATGGTGGAAAATAATAGAGAAGGATCAAAAGAGGTAAAAATCTGCAGTTAATTAGCATCTATTTTTCTTAAATTTAGAATCAGTTTGAGACATACACAGAATAACTTGTGGCATTATTGCGTTATATACCATTTATCTGTATTAACTTTGACATATCTTACGTTTTATGTTTAATGCTGTGGTTGATATTTCAAAAGCTGCTTTTTAAAAAAAATACATCTCATCATTTTTCTTAATTAGATGGTGGTCTCTACCCCATCGGTTGGCAGAAAGGAACATTTCCCATTTGAGAGTTTTGTTTCTTAATTCTTCAGAAGCATTTCTGAGAAATCCTGGGTCTCAGCTCAGCAAACTGAGAAACCTTGGATCACATTGGCCACTGGGGATCCTTGCTTCAGCTGAGTTATGTGCATTTCCACGTCAACAAAGTTACTTCTTTTGAGGGATACAGTTGTAGTCCCTCTGACCATGTTCCTTGAAAACTCATTTGTCTGTCCCTGGACAATTTAAAGCTGAATTCAGAGCTATTTAGGATCACATCCATGTTTGGTTAAATATATAAAATTAATTCAGTTGAGAATCCAGATGGGAGCTACCAGAGGATTCAAATATGCCCAGGAATGGTTTGACCTTTAGACCTCAAATAGAAGCCCTGTGCTTTCGTTTTGCAGGGTTCTTATCCATGGCCATCCTTCATACCCTTCTCAGAATGCAATGGCACTTCGGTTCCCCCCTGAAAAAGAGGAGGAAACCCTTACTAGAAAGTCAGACCTCCTGGCAGGCCTCAGGGAACAGGATGATCAGACCTTTGAATGATCCTAATTCTCTTTTTAGCAAAATCTTATTTTGTAAAAGGTTTACATTGTCAGAAGTGATAAATAATAGAATTTCAAATCCTGTGCTGCTATCCTGCCAAGATCCTTTCAATGGAGTCAGTTTGCAGTACACTCCAAGTGGTGAGATTTCTCCAAGCTGCTTTAGAAGTAACAATGAAGAGCAAGGACATTTTTAATATAAAGCCTGTTTGTCTTTTGTTACTATTGTTATTGTTTTAAGGTGAGATTCACAGAGTATTTGAAAAATGTATATGTATATATATATTAAAAAAAAAAGGTCATGGTGGGTAAGTTCTAGCTGATTTCCTTTTGCTGTGGGCTTTTGCTGTCTGGCTTTAACTCTCTATGTGCCAACCACCTGACCCTGGAACTGTACAGTATTGTGGCTGCCCTCACTCTAAGAGTAGTTGATGTTACATTTTTCTTGTCGTTATAAACATGTTAGAGGCAATGAATGTATATAAAAGCCTCAGTTAGTCTTTCCTCCCTCCTTCTTTCTTTTCATTGTATTGATTATTTTACTACCAGACAAACCAGAGAACTATTTCTATCTATTTCATGTCAAGAAGGAATTCCCACCTGAATATTAACTCCTCTTTACCATAAACATAGTGACTATGTCAACCAGGAGCAAGGTTAAATAGAACACAAACACATCCCAAATTGGATTCAAGGATTCTGGATAACACTTTAAAAAGAACCTGGCGGGGGTGGGGGGAACAACAAAACCCTCTAAGTCCCCTCCACCTTGCATTGCAAAAGCATTCTGGAAGGGAAATCAGAAGGCAACAGACAGATTTGCTACCAAATGGCAAATCTCAGAGGATTGGACAGGGTCTGAAAATTCTTGTAGACTTGCAGTTCAGATGAAAGTCACATTTAGAATCAAAGAAGCACCACCAAATACTTCAAAACACCAGCAGCCTTCTGCCCCAGCCTCTTTACCTCTTCATTTTCAGATATGGCCTTCAGTTTAGATGGAACTTTTACTTCATAAGTAAATTGTTTATCACATAAAGTCCTAGTCCTGGCCCAATACAAGAATAAAAGAAAGGACTATAAAATCAGCATTAATGTCCATCATTAAGGCTGGCCTACCACCTATCCAATTCTCATCTGACCTAACAGTATCGAAAAGAATTATGTTTATAATTAAACTTGTACTAAAATGTGAAATTTAAAACTTGAACATAAATTTAATGTCAGTCACATAGTGGCTGTTTTTACACTTTTTTTATCACTTAGTAACATACACCTATCAGAAGAAACAGGAAGGATTTGAGATAGAAGTCATTCTAAGGAAATTAGGGAGTCGGTTGAAATGCTATTCTGATCTTATTTTGTGGTGTCTTTTGCTGCCCAGATGAATGTGGCTGCACAGGCTTTAAGAAATATAAGTCTACATAGTCAGGTACCTGAGCGTTCCAATCAGACCCTTATTGTTAGTCAACTTAATCTTTTTGAAATCCTTTTGAACATTATTATGGGACAAAAGACATTTTGTTATGGGGCTGATAGGAAGGAAGAATTTTTAAATCACTAAAACATTCATAGAGTCTCTTTGAGTCGTGATCGACTTGACGGCAATCAACAACAACAGCAACAAAACATTCCCAAGGTTTGGTCAGAGAGGGAGGTTTCTCAGAGGAGCCAGAACTGTAGACTGTGAAATGGAGGCAAGTGGGACCTTCCATCGGGTCAGCATGATGCCTCAGTGAAGGACAAACGAGCCCGTTTTACATATGTGGTACAGATAGATTGTAGACACATCAGCAAAGCTCAACACCAGCTCTGTATGGCAAAGCCAATGGCTTATACCTTTCCTACACATTTTCCAGTACTGGTAGAAACATCAACCCAGAAAATGTCTACTGGATATTTAAACATTCAGCTTGCTATTTTAACCAGTGGGGTATTTCATAACAACTTTCTGATTGGAAAGGACATTTGTTTTCAAGTATTTCTTATTCACAATAATAAAAGAACAAGCAACATCATAATTTTTTAAAATGAGAAATGAAATTTGGTACATGATAGGTCCTGAAGAATCATTCTACTCTGGGTCTGCCTTTGGGATGGACTAGGATGATCATGAATATGTATCCCACCATGCAGAAAGAAAACCAGATGGGGTTTTCATCACCACCATGCCAGAAAAATAACTTCGGGTCAGCATCCTCCTGTTGGTGGCAAGGTGGTTGGTTTTGTGCGCTAAAGTCAGCCCAGCAATGACTGCACGGACAAAAACAGCAGATTGGCATCACTGCTCTAAAATAAAAGACTGACAACTGAGGAACAAAGCAGTCACGTGAGAAGGCAGTTTTTCAGGTTATGTCCTATGGGTGGAGAAAGGAAAGGGTAGCTTAATCAAAAAACCTTGTAGTGTAGATACTACTGCCGTGTACCTAAGCCTTCTGGGAAATCTGTAGTAGACTGTCCAGCAAGCTCGCTTTATTAAGTCCCCACGCCGCAGAGTAGCATTTAAAGGAGTGGTAGCCAATTAGATTTCTTATATGGAACCTTAGGGGGTTGTGTGCATTATAATGTCTTCTTACGTCTTCAAAGCAATGACGTTTT